CATATAGGTATCAATGATGTTAGCCATGTTGAAGACATTCGCGGTTGGAAACCATTTTACAGTGTTCATCATCCACGTAGCAAAGGTGTTGCAATACTGATAAAAAATGATTTGCCTTTTGAGCATATAAAATATGATATAGACTCCACAGGCAGCTACATTGTACTTATCTGCAAATTATATGGTAAATGCTTCACTCTAGTGAATGTATATAACCATGCAAAAGAACACAAAGTCTTGCAGTGTCTTTCTGAATATCTTTGTCAGACTGCCAAAGGTGTCTTGATAGTTGCAGGGGATTTCAATACAGTTCTAAACACAGATCTTGACCGGGAGTATCCAACTGGACATACAGAGCCCCTTAGACCTTATCTTGAAGAATTCATCTCGTCTTTAATGCTTGTAGATGTCTGGGGACTTAAAAATCATTGTAAGAGAGATTCATTTACTCGTCTTCCATGGAAACCATCCAAACAAAAAAAACAAAACACATCATGTCCGAAGAACAAGAAAAGGGGTGCATCAAGACTAGACATGGTCTTCATGCCACGAAATGATGTGTGGCTTGCTGAGAGTTGTGAAATCTACCAAGTTCAAAGGGATATTTCAGATCACCTCCCTGTAGTTCTTAGTCTGTGTTTGCCAAAACCAGGTTACACTACAACCGTTCGCTCAAAAGACCCGATAGCATGTTCTAGTAGCATAAAAGACATGGTCTTCAGAAAGAGACCTTATAAGAGGAGAGCAGGTGAAATCAGTGAAGCTGAAGTTTTGAAAGCTTTAATGTCCTATGTAGAATATGAAACCCCACTTGGGGAAAATATGGAAACCTTTAAGATTAACAAAGACCAAAAACTACAAGAACTTAAAGAGCTTTTTAACCAAATGATTACAGAAGGAATTCCAAAGGGCTTCACTGACAGTGTGGTAGAAAATGGAAGGCACCACTTCAGAGCAAAGTACATGATACTTGCCACAGTACTTGTTAGGCGAATGGAAAAATTTCTTCAGCCCTCATTCAAAAGCAAACCAATGAAAATGAGTTACAAACTCTTCATTGTTGTTAGCTTTTGTGGGATGCCCCAAAAAATCAAAAAGCGTTTTTTAAAACTAGCTTTGAAATCACTGAAACACATCCATCCATCACCTCCACGTGACTTCAGGATTGTGGAAAACCTGCTTCCAAACACTGACCAATATAAAGAGCTTAGAAAAGACTGCCCACTTACTCCAACTCTTTTGACAATGGCTCTGAAACACCTAGCCTGTACCTTAAAGAAAGATTTGGAAGAATCTGTGGTTGATGTATGCCATCATAGAAAATGCATTACAATCTACATGAATGCTAACAAATATGTCATTCTAAAGAAAAAAATAAACAATTTTCAATTAAAATCAGGAATTGCCCTTTCACCAAAAGTAGGTCGGGTTTGGAGAAAGTGTTCAAACACAAAATAGGCTATGCGTTTAGAAATGTGCAAGACACATTCATTGAAGGCTGATATGAACAGAAATGAAGTAGACATGACACAGGGGATGGATGGATGCAAATGACTATATGCTTAAAACTGGAATTCCTCAACCTAAATGATTAAACAAGCTTCTAACAGCTGAAATACCAAACAACTTGGGAGAATAAAAAACCTTTCTACTGATTCTGGAAAACACCAGAAGAAAGGTGTCCAGGGTTCCTGATCACCTGTGTGAACATGCCATATAAAGTCCTGCTGCAGGGAGGCATGAGGAATGCAGATGCAGCCAATAAACATCAATGTCCATAATGTAAGAGGCCTAAGACAGAGCTACAGGGAGACAGGAAGGACAGCTGATCGTCCTTGCAGTGACAGACCACGTGTAACCATTTGTCCCCCAGACATGTTCAAGAACTTGCAAGTGCCTTGGTGAAAGATTGAGGAAACATCTCACAGCAAGAACTGGCGAATCTGGTCCAGTCCATGAGGAAGAGATGCTCTGCAGTCTGCAGTATATAAAGCAGCTGCTGGCCACACGACATACTCACTTCTGCAACTTTTTATATTCATACAAATATTTACACGCTAAGAAATTTGCTGGAAATAAAAGCAGTTGAATGTGAAAGGGTGTTTCTATTTTTGTGTATGTCTCTCAGATATCTATATAATGTTGTATTGTTTTTCTTTTGCTGTTTAATCTTATGTTGTGCTGTGTTGTCCATCAAGGTCTCTAATGTTGTGAATAATTATCCATTGCATTTCATTTGGTATAATAACACTTGTTGAAAATTTTTTGGTTCAATACTAATGCTCAATAAACTAATTTTTACCATCTCGTCGCCTCTTGTTACCTGCTGTTCCCCTGCCTCTTGAGCTGACAGAAGAATTAACAATTTGTTGACTATTTTGGATATTAAAACCAGGGGGTAGAGACAGAGCTGGATCTGAATGAGGCTGGGTCTGACACTTCAGTCTATTGATGTCACTGGTGAGAGAAGACACAATGGCTGATAATCTGTTTTCTTGGGATTTTTATAGTTCTAAAAACATGTTGTCATACCACAGATATGTCTCAATATAATCATATCTCCATATTCAATCATTTGTGGAAAGGGGGTATTATAGATATTACAGATAGATGCTTCCTTCATTGACTGAGCATGACACCTGCATTCTCAGAACAGAGGTACAAAAGCTGTCACTGAGGCGGTAACCTTTCAAAAGGTACAAATATGTACCATTTAGGTATTAATATGTAACTTTAAGGTAGCAATATGCACCCTTTAGGGGTAAATAAGGTACAAAGGTGCAGATTTAAATCGCGATTCTGACAGGTTGTAATTATTTCTATTGGTTCACCAAACTGGAACTTTGGAACAAAACATTTTGCATGAGCTTCTACTTCCTCTGTCCCACATTTGTATGCATATGAATGGAAGACAATGGAACGAAAAAAGTATAGTAGTGTGACACCCATTAACTCAAAAGTACAAAACAACTGAAATGGTATGGCATGCAGGACCTAAAAAGTGCAGTTCTTGTGCCGTCCATTAGTGCACAGAGGAGTGGGCCAAAATTGATACAGAAGTTACTGCAAAAAAAGCATTCTGGTTGTGTTTGTTGTCCTAACAGCTATGGGCTGCAAGGGGATTGTGAATAGGATCTGATGACATTTAGCATAAAAATATGCAAAAATACAGAAAATTACTTTCATAGCACTGTATTGAAAACTTTTATAGCAACAAGTGTCTGAGAAACACATAGGGTGTATAGTATATACACGAGTACACACATGTGGGATAATGACATTCACCATCATTGTTTAGAAATGTAATATCCAAATATTAACATCCAAAATTAACACACATTATTCATGTTGTTGCTGCAGATCTATATAATTATAGACTTTACGTAATATCTCAGTTCAGTTGGCAGTGTTTTTTTGTTTTTTTTTGGTGAGGAATGATTCATGGTGACTCAACACTGCACACCTTCTCTTTTTGAACAGGGTTTCTTAAATGGCATTTCTGCGGCTCCGTGTGGGTCAGGTGCCATCTAGAGGAGACAAACAGACCCCCTTATATGCACTGAAGGTCAAATTATTTTGTAATATAATTACAATAATTATTACAGTAGAAATTAATCTGCTTTCCTATTAATCTGCTATTCATTTATTTAACAAAATGATGAGAATTTCAAATTACTGAAGCTAAATTCGATCATACAGCTTGGCCACACATGAATAAAAAAGGAAAACCCTAAAATAAAAAAAATTAAAAACGGGAGCGGATTTTGATTTTTGACTGGCTCCAGATTCACTTTCAAGTAACACATATATGAAACAGGAATTTACACTGTAAAAAAACATGTGGAATGTACAGTTTGAAACGCATTGTTTTATTTTTGTAGCTCATTTTGCAGTAGAAAAATGGCTAAGATAAAAGTTCTTCACAGAAGATCCTGATCACTTCACAAAAATGTGAAACATTCAAATTACAATACAAAGAAAATGACATTCCTACATACTAAAAACTATATAAAAAAAATCTGTAAACTGATTGTTCTGTTTTGGCAGACATGATTTGCATCTGAAAATATGAAATTTAACAGAAAACCATCAGAAACTAGAGAAACAAAAAACAAAACAGTTATCATTAGCACAGAATATGTATTACAATTCTAAAACTCAAAAAGGGGACAAAATGACTTAACTATTATTAGAACTGAATTGAAAAATGTAAAAATAATAATTTCAAACATTTATTTAAAACAAACAACCAAAAATAGTTAAATTATTTAAATAGAAACATTTCCAGCTTTTCTTATTTTGGGCTATTTTTGATCATCTTACATATCAATATTGGTATTCTAGATACACGCATCAAAACAATATTGTTCTTTCTTTTCCTGATAATATGTATAATTCATTGTTCAAATTAAAATTACAGTAAATAAAATATCTTGGTTAAAAAAGAAATTAAACAACACTAAGGAAATTGTTTTCCCTATAATCAATACATTATTTCAGACTAACTGAAAAACAAAAAAAACAGATTGCTTATGGTTATGGATCATTAAAATATATTTTGCATATTCCCTCATTAAGTTAAACAAAATGAACACTTTCGTTACATATAATTCACATACCCACAACAATTATGTGAGAAAACAAACAAACAAATGATGATGTTGTATGAACCTGATTAAGTGCCTTATTAAACTGCTTTTATGCTTTACAGAGAGTTAAGAAACACGCAGACCAATCAGAGGAGTCCATACTGGGAAGTGCCTGATCATACATGCCCCACAAGTGATGAACAGGAAGTAGTTTCTTCTCTTCCTGTGTGGTCCATGCAGGCCGTCACTCAGTCATGCAAATTCCAAATTTCAAATAAATTTTTAAAGAAATTCAAGACACAAAAATTCCAGGACATTCCAGGTAATTCCAGAGTTCTGCAGGGTTGCATAAAGTCAATACAGCAAAACTATTTTCAAATGCTGTGGTCTGGCTTTGGTTTCAATGTATTGTTTTTTTTTCAAAGAGAAAAAATGTAAAAAAAAATTACAAAAAGTATTTTTTCAAGCTGTTGATCATTGGATATGGTAGTGATCACACATTTGAATGGTCACTCTGTCCCTGAACTTTCACTCAGTAGTACAAACAGCAGGACCGGGGAGCTTCATCCTCCTCGTCTTTGGCTCAGTTTGTTGTACAGTAGGACAGAGGGGGGGGGGAGCAGGGGCTTGTAAAGGAATGTCTGACTCTCAAGGACAGGTGGATTAAAAGAAAATGAACAGTAAGATAAGCTCTTTGAAGGTAGATTAGTGTCGCTCTGTTACGGAGTGAACTTTCATCAGAGCAGACAGGAGTAAGGAGTCACTGAGAGTGGACGGAGAGAGAGACAACCAGAAAGGAAATGGAGGGATGGGGATTAATAGCGTGACAAAAATGACAGAGAAAAGGAGTACGAGAGAGAGAGTCTATGTGTGTGTGTAATCCACAGAAGTAGAGCAAGCATTTACTGTAACGCAACTGGCTATGGAGGAATATCTGCCGCAACAGAGCACTTGTTTTTAGGTTTTATGTTTTAAAAAGAAATATTAGAGAAAATAAGGCAACAAGAGGAAGATGTGGAGGAGAGAGAGTCGTCCGACTGTCACCGGATGGACAGCACTGCTGTGTGATGGTCTCTCTGTGGCTATAATAATCATAAAAAGGTGAAACAGACAAACATGATTTTAAATATGATGTAAAAATACATATGCATAAACACAGACACACACAGACACACACACACACACACACACACATATATATTTGGGAAGCACACTATATCGGCACCTGAGATTTTGTAAACCAATCCGTATTGGCACATATTGGATATTTAATTGTTTTTACCCATTCTAACATTGACATAATCATCTAGCATCTTTATGGCTCCTGAAACCTAAGAATGCAGTTTTATATGTATAAAAATAGACTTAATTCTGTTCATAGTGGTCATAAAAAATTAAAACAATGCTAAAAAATTATTTAGCATAAGGTATATGCAAAATAACTATAATTATAATCAAATAATTACTGGTGCAGCAAGGGCGCACACAAAACCTGTTCATAATTTTAAAAAAATTATGATCAACAATAATATATATATGTGTATGTATTAAGTAGTGTAACCATTTCAATTACTTTATTAAAGTAATGTAAATGATTACATTTGATTACTTTTTGATTACTTTTCCAAATTTCTAACGAATGTTTTCAGCTGTTAATCATTTTCAAACATTTAAACCAGGTTAACCTTACAGTAGTGCTCAACAGTAATTACTGTCAGACATTCAAAATCTTTAATCACTTAAATTAAGATTATAATAATTAAATTTTAAAGCACAGCCACCACAAAATTACACTTTAGCAACTCTTTACTTTGAGACTGTCACACACACACACACACACACACACACACTTAATAATATTCAATAATAAAAAAATAAAAAAATAATTTGCTTTTTTAATAATTAAAAAAAATAATTTTGTAGTTTTATTTCATATTATAAACCAAGGGACCTTACAAGTAAAGTGTATGCCAATAAACACTAACCTTCTCGTCTTGATGATCCAGCTGTTGCTACAGGATATAAAGAGAGGGAGGGAGAAAGAGAGAGAGACATGTGAGATGTAAGTGCTTTCTACATTTTTTGTTTGTTTGTTTGTTTTTGAAGAACTACCAACTTGGAACATCATTCTTGAGAATAAATGAGGAGAAGAATGCACATAGAGACACATTTAACATTACTCAGGCAGAAACATAGTGAAAAATTACTAACGGCTGTGCAACCCCAAAATACATCCTCAATGCAAATTCTCTTAAAGGTCGCACACAGAAAGAGAGCAGAAAAAAAATGAAGGTGGAAGGAGATGAAAGATTCTGCAAGAAACAAAAAAAAATAGTGGACTGGAAGGATGAACAAAAGAAAGGAGCGTGGAAAAGGAAAGATTTAGAGGGGGGAAAGGAGCAAGAGATACAAGACTGAACAGAGAAGGGCCACAAAAGCAACAAAGATAGAGTGATGGAGCGAAACACGGGAGAAGACAGAGAAGAGGAGGAAGTGTGAGAAAAGCAGAGGGAGAACGAACAAGGAAGAGAACCTGAAAGAAGGTCAGACGGCAAAAGGAAAGAGACGAAAGTGGGAAGGAGGGAGGGAGTTTGTGTCTGTGTGTCACTCTCTCAACAGGGGGTCAGACTGAGAAACATAATGGAGAAAAGATGAATGGAGAGAGAGAGAGAGAGAGAGAGAGCGAGAGACATACAGAGATATCGCAGATGTGGAGGAAAGTAGAGCATAGTAGACTAAACAAGAACAGAAAAGTGTTGCCTAAAACTACAGAGCGAGTTGAAAGTGGAAGACAAGTGTACAAACAAGCATGTAGTTCACACTTAAGATACATTTTTTCAAAAAAATTTAATTCATGTGAGTGGTATTCTATGACTGTGCCCTTTTTAGATTTTAAGTTTTGAAATCAGCTTCTTGCCTTCACTGGTATGTTTGTTTAAAATGGACAAATAACAATAATAATAAAAAAATTTTTTTTTAAAGTTACAATTCATTTCATGTACTTTCTCAGTTAATCTGGACAAACAAACTGCATGTATAATAATTTTAAAATATTTGGAAAAATGGTTTACAACGTTTTAAATGAAGCATAGCAAGTCACACCGCAGGACATGTCAATTTTCCAAAAGCATTTCACGTCAACTAATTGGCTGCTCGTTAAGCAAAATCAAGTTAACACACATTAGTTCAAGTTAGTTTAACCCATCATTAACACTTGACCAAACGGAGAGATAAAATCCTTCATTAAAGATTTCGTTCAAACATGCCTACTTTTGATGAGGACACTGACTTTTGTCAATATTTACAGTCAAGAAATAAGAGAAAATGTGTGCAGATAAAATGAAATTGCCTCAATAGAAAAAATCTACAATGAGCATCAAAACAATAGAAACATATACAATTAAATCATAGTAAATTACAATTTTAAAAACAATGCATAAATGTAATGCATTTATAATGAACCACTAATCAAACATTGTTTGACTTTATCATATATAAATCATGTAACATGTACCATTCTGCTACTTTTTGTCCACATTTATCTTTCCACAAATCAAATCTTGGAACACAGGGAAGCATGAAAAAAGATTTTCAAATTTAAATTCATTTCACTAGATTACATGACAAGGGCATGAAATGATTAATCTATAATTGTTATAGATTAAAGGATTAATCTATAATATAGGATTAATCTATAATCTATCTTTTAACCATAAATAAAATAAATAAACAAACAAATCATTATTAATACGATTAAACTAACTGAAATAAAAATACTTTTTACAAAACACAAAAACAGCGTGCAATGATTGATTTTGAAATGCTGAGAGGAGTCTGAATTAAACCGTTGTTTACATCTGACAACATACAAAAAAGTAAAAAATAAAATGTATTTAATAAAATCTAATAAAAATTTAAAATTAGACAAATACAAAATATGCATTCATTTACAAAGTAATGGTAATTTTAGACATGTAATGACAAAACCTTAATCAGGCATTAAATAAAACTAAGATGAATATGAATTTATATTATTATTTATATGTTCTGATCTTCTATTGCCTAATTATTATTCAAATATACCAAAGTAAATAATGCACATAATTGTTTTGAACATTGTTTTGAATAGAAAAGGCACCTTAAACCGAAATGGAAAAAAAAGAGAGAAGATCATTAGTCTTGAAGAAAAATATATTATTTCGACAAAAGTTTAAACCTATTTTTCTCTCTTACTGAAGTTAAATGAAATGTTTGCTTCAACAAAATGGCAGTTTTTTTGTTTTCAAGCACAAAATGGCTGCAGTTGCGCTTTCCTTGCATAAAACATGGCTGCCATGGTATGATGCAGAGAATGACTGGGAAGAGGATGCGAGAGATTGAGAACAGAAGAGAGGGGGGAAAAAAAGAAGAAAAGAGGGCTTCCTTGCTTTTGCAATCTCTGCAATTTTACCCTTTACTTTGTTATTGCAAAATGAAAAAATTCGACTCGCATGCCAAAAACGTAACCGTAATTTTCCTGTTTATATTTTCGGAACGATCGGTCACTTCAGGGAAAAACTACACTTGTGTAAAGGCACTGAATTAGTGTTTTTTTTCTTTTTCTTTTCGCTTTGGAAAAAACGCTCTGGTGAATGACAAATCTAACAAGGCGAGAGAGGTGAATAAAAGGGGGAGGACGAGGTATCCACTGAGGTGGGCAGCGCAAAACGGACAGAGTTTCGGGTTTTAAAAACAATTAAAAAGATTGAGAAACGGACAGAAACTGGAAAAGGAAATGGTGCGCTCACAACAGGACCGTGCGAGTTAAAAAGAGCTGAAAAAGACAGGGATCAATTAGAGAGAAAGTAGAACTGACTGAAATGGTTTTTCACAGCGGGGGAGAGAAGGACCGAGTAAGACGCTGAATGAGGGAGAGGAGGGAAAAAACAACAGCAGAATTAATGTTTTGACAAGTTGCCCCGAGTAAGTGCAGGGAGTGGAGCAAAGTGAATAGGATGAAAGACGAGGGCACCCGGGAGCTGTTTTCCATGAGACGCCACTCAATCAAGACTTTTTGTTTTGGTCGCACTTTTATGATTTGAGCGAGGTGTCTTGCTACCAAAATCCAGGTATAAACATCAGAAAGCTTTTCTTACAAGCATTGGTACATTTAGCGATATATAGATGAGTGAGGGGATGCATTTCACTGCGACACATTGGCAGCTTTTGGGGATCCTTCAAGCATGAGACTGTTGCTGTCAGGGGGAACAATTTCACTGTTACACTCAATGAACAGCAGAATCCGTCATCGTCTATAATGAGTGCTACATTCAGTTACTTTCTATATATCAGACTTTTAATAATTCACATGCAGCTCAAAACATTTCAAATGAATATAAAAGCTTATTTCACAGCGTTAACCAACCATCCAACCAACTTGTGACCTGATTCCCTCTGGTATTACTGATCTATTTGCCGTCCTTAGCATGTTCTGTTTCCCATGAGCCTGGCCATTAAGGCTCAAATGACCTAGTGAAATGTGCTCGACTTAATTAAAGTTTAAATACAGCTTGCTGCTGGTGCAGCGTGACTGAGATTTAGCTCCAGCTGCGGCTGTAACGTTGCTTCCACGGCTCTGGTTCTGAGGCAAATGCTGACAGGACCCTCAGTCGAACACGGACTGTCAGATAAAAGACCTTCCACAGGAAGGAACCCAAGTCGGTTTGTGGCACTACCAGGAGGAACAAACACCAGCTGTGCAAAACATGCCCTGGCGCAAAGTCCCGTCACACACCTCTCCTTTCATTCGTCTTTACATGCAAGTGATCAGAGGAAAACAGCATAGGGAAAATGCTGTAAAGGTGTGCAAGAAGGTATGCGGAAAAGATGGAGGGGCTGAAAGTGAAATGTGGTGGAGAATGCAGAGATATTTGAAAGCAAAGGAGGATAGTAAGTGCAGATATTCATTTTAAATGTTACTTTTATGCTTGTAGAAAAGAACGATTCAATGAAATACATTTTAGTTGATGTCAGGGAGGGTTGAACCTGCAATAAATATTACAATTTAATGCCAAATAAAAGATACACACAAAATTGCAATGGTATCTCTTGTTGTTTAAAATTTAAAATTTTCTTGTCATGGATGATAAACGTTAAATGGTCGAATCAAAAATGAAACCAAAATAAATAAATAATTGTTTGTATAGAAGTGAATACATGAAGACAGTATGAATTCTGCTAAAGAACAAAAAAACGAGATACAAAATGTCTCAAAAAAATTATGAATAAAATATAAATATAATTAAAACAATAAATTGTGTAATAAATAGTGCTGTCAAACGATTAATTGCGATTAATCGCATCCAAAATAAAAGTTTTTGTTTACATAATATTACGGTGTATATTTATTATGTATAAAGACACACACATACAGCATATATTTTGAAAATATTTACATGCATTTACATGTATATATTTATATTCATATAAATTATATAATATATACACACGTAACATATTTTTCTTAAATATATACATGCATGTGTGTGTATATACGTAATAACTATACACAGTACACACACATATATTATGTAAACAAAAACTTTTATTTGGGATGCGATTAATTGCGATTAATCGTTTGACAGCACTAATAATAAATAAATTGTATTTTGTATTATGATATTATATAATATTAAATAAAATTATATTTTATTGTATTATATACCACTAATTCTTACTGCACAGTATTTACTCAAAATCAATACAAAAATACTAAAAATGCGCATTACACATTGACAAAGCTGACACAAGAATTAATCGGCCAACCAAGCACATTTGTCTGCCAAAATGCTTAGAAATGGTCAAATATATATGTATGAATATAAATAGATGTGTCTATAACTATTCAGGAACATGATGCAAGGGCTAGATGGAATGAGAAGAGAGTCGAGACTGTAGTGGATAAGACTCTGATTAGTTTTGCTCTGGTAACGACAGATCATAAAAATGAGGGAGGGAAGGAAAAGACTAAAAGAAAGTGTGGGGGAGATTAGTGCCACTCCAGGAATGACTATACACAATCGGAGGAGAAAGAAAGAAAAAAGGAGGGAGGGAGAAGCAGGGATGCTACAGTTTAGTCTGGATTAGTTTTGGTCAGAGAACAGAAAAAGAGGGGAAAAGATAGGGAGAAAGGGAAAGAGAGGGATAAAAGAGATGGACCATCTGAAGCGAGAGCATGAGAAGGGGAAAATGCGCAAAGACGAGGAAGAAAAGTTGTCATTCCACGCATCCATTAAAGCACGGATAAAGTAAATGTTAGTTCAAATGAATGAAGAGCCTTTTCCTCCTCGAAACAACAAAAACCTCCATCTTTCCTTATCAAATATTTGCTCCTAACATAAAAACACATCCACCTCAGATCATTCTCAGCTACAGATGTTTCACATACAAACATTTCAAATCAATTGCACAAACATTTTCTGCTCCAACCACAAACTAGAAACTAGATATTTCTCATTGAAGGTTGCGCAACACTCAGAATTGAGCAAAACATCTCCTTAAAGGGTTCAAAAATTTGATTTCACAACAGAGAGTTTCTGTTTGATTTACTTGATGTGGAACAAACGCAATGGTTATCCACTTTTCAAACTACGAAAAAGTAACGGAGATATTTAAATACAGTGCTATTGATCTCAAGTCAAACTAGCCAAATGGAAAACATTTTCATAGCTGATTTCCTACAAATGGTGTCAAGAAAAGTTCGAGAGATTGCGAGAGGCCAGAAGGCAGGTTTGGGGCCACGACAGGTCTTGGATATTGGGTTCGACAGCTTCTGAGTTGGTGTGCATGTGTGTGAAGCAGGAGGTGGAATCGGGTCAGACGGCTTACGGACTGGACTGCCATTCCCACTCTTACTGAGCGGCATTCCCTGCTGATCCCGCATCAGCCAAGCCGAGCGGAAGGTCAACATAAATGCAGGGGTCTGAGAGCCAGCCTCTCTAGACGCACAGGACACACACACACACACACACACACTAACACGCACATACACTTTCACACATCATGCTATAACAAAAGGAAAAAGAAATGCCAAATATGTGACCCTGGACCACAAAACCACTCATAAGGGTCAATTTTTTGAAATTGAGATTTATACATAATCTGAAATAAATAAGCTTTCCATTGATGTATGGTTTGTTAGGATAGGACAATATTTGGCCGAGATACAACTATTTGAAAACCCATACAATGTTTTTTTGGCTATTGCTAAAAATATACCCAATCACATATAAATATGTACTAATTATTTAAAAATTAATAAAATATCAATTGACAACAGTTTATAATAAATTTGATTTTGTTGCTGTACTATTTATACTTACAATCTTTAAAAGTATACATTCAAATTCTCATTTCAAAACAAATGCATTTATCATCATTTAAATGTATTATTTAATTTATATATATGTACATTTAAAGTCACTTGACTATACACAGTATTTTTTCTATATTATCTACAAAAAAATATACATACGTCGAATTCCAATTTTGAAACAAATGTATTTTTATTATAATAATGTTTATTGTAATTCAAATTACTACTACTACTACTAATTATTATTATTATTATTATAAATAAATATAATAAATAATATTTTTAGTTCGTTTTTTTTAATATACATTATTTGTATATAAATTAGATTTTGTTATATTATTTATCTAAATAATACATACAATACAAATTCCAATCTCAAAACAAATGTAACATTTTTTATTAATGTTTATTATAATATAAATGTGTTATAACATTTGTTATTATTATTATTATTATTATTATTCAACACAGACAGGTTGATTGATTTTGTTGCTATAATAATTATCTACAGAAAAAAATACATACTAATTCCAATTTTACAACAAATTAATTATTTTATTGTTGTTTATTATAAATAGTATGTATATTATGTGTGTGCATGCCTATCTATAAAATGGAAAAATTCCCATTTGAAAATAAATGTGTTGTTTTCCATGTACAACAACGTAAGGCGACTGTTTAGCGCAAGACAAGTATGAGACTTTCTTTGCTATTTTAATCTCCATTTAAACCATTGTGCTGCAGAATGAAAAAAGAAAAGGAGGAAAAAATAGAATGATGAGCCAGGGAAAGAATGCATTAGCAGAAGAGGGGAAATGGAAAGATGTCTGCAGAAGGTAGGCAGAAAGAAGGAAAAGCGAGCGAGAGGTTGCGTGCAAAAAGAGGGGCATGTCTGATTGCGTGAGAGGGCGGGTGTGTGTGTGTGTGTGGGTG